GCTGAATTTGTATTATATTATTTCTCCTAATTACACCTGATATAACATGCACTGCTCACCTTGTAGTTACAGGCACAAAAAAACAAACAGCACAGCATGTTCTTGAGTAAGGAATCCTTCAGTTTCCCAAAGGAAACAAAAGACAAGAAACCCTTTTGATTTGTCATTTCTCTCTGAATGTAATTCACTGACAGACGCTATTTAAATACAGGACCACTTGCATGAGACACAGAACAAAACAAATTTCAAAAATATATCTTTTATGCAGTCGAGCTGAGTGAACTACAGGAAGTGGTCTGTCAGTTGGCAACTGGCTATAAATTCATTAAACAAGATCATGTTCATATTTAGGCCCATTTGTGTGCAGCAACAACTCTATCCATCAGTTTTCTTCCACTTATCTAATTCAGGGTTGTGAGGGGGCTGGAGCGTACACTCTAGACAGGCCACCAGCCTAATGCAGGGCTAACACAGAGAGACAGGAAACCATTCACACTCACATTCACTCTAAGTAGGGCTGTTCGATATAACGATATATATCGGATGACGATATAAAAACGTCTATCGTTTCATTTTACGCTATCGTTTGTTTCGTGGCGTCGCAAAATAAACTTTACAGCAATTTTTTTTTCATCGTTTTGATGGTCACTGTAGTGGCTATATTAATTTCTTAAAGTTCTCTCTTTCTCTTATATTTAATATAACCACACTACAGCCGGACAAGCACCTGTTTTTATGCGTTGTCGTTAGCAACAACGACGGTAAAACCATCGCGTGTCCGCTTGTTTATTTTCCATATAAACCTTTCACAATAAAGCTCAAGATCCTGTTGAGTCTTTTCAAAATAAACGGAATCACGTGAAAAAGTATGCAGAGTGTTTACGGATGAGAAGCAAAAAAGAATCGTCAGGTGCTAAAAAAATAAACCTTAGACTCAAACGTTACAACAGGCTTTTCCCCGCAGCACGCCATGTAATAAATACTCACAAAGAAAACGGCGGCCGTTACAACCTATGTCTAAAAATGTGTAGTTTCATGCATCGGTTAAAACACTCGACTCCAGATACACGACGCCCAGCTGAAACACTTCACCTACCCGAGATTTACAGAATTTACAGAAAATATAATTTTTTTTGTGATTTATATCATTATCAGGACGATAGATGTTTTATATCGGGATATGAGATTTTGGTCATATCGCACAGCCCTAACTCTAAGGTCAATTTAGCATTGCCAATTAGCACAAAGCCATCAGTGTCTTTGGACTGTGGGAGGAAGCCAAAGCTGTGATGCAACAGTGCTCACAACAACTGACTAATAAATAATAAATAAAAAAAAACCAACTAACCTTTCCTCCATCTGCATGGTACTCTTTCTCATCTGCCTTTAGCAACTTGGCCAAACCAAAGTCAGTGATCTTGACATGTTGAGGAGTCTTCACCAGGACGTTTCTGGCTGCCAAGTCACGATGCACTAAGTGGCGCTCCTCCAGGTAGTTCATACCCTTTAATCAAACAAATAGTGAAATACAGATTACATAAGAGCCGTGCTTTCACGAGCTCGCCGATATTGTTGGAAACGTGAAAACAATGCTTGCTCAGACAAAGTGAAAAATGACATCTGTCACGACAGACTTTGATAATCTGATTACTCAGATAAAAGAAACTGTATTTCTTTACAAAAAACGGCTGTTCTTTACAAAACCTCTAAAAACAAAAACGCTGACGACTTGACTCGCTCTGCAAATCTAAGTTTAAGCATATGTTTTTAAATTGCACACCCACTAAGACTTAAACCCACAAAAGCATGTGATTAATATTATTGTTATTGAAAAAAAAAATCCCTAGATTTATATCTTTATTGGCTGATACAGAGCTATGCGCATGTAAAACAACTCCAGCAACAACAGGTCCAACCTAATCAACAGATTACTCAACTGTAACGTGACACCTTTATGAACTTTCCCTCTTACCTTGGCTATCTGCACACACCAGTTGAGCAGGTACTGGGAGCCAATATTGTCCTTGTTCTCTTTGACATAATCCAACAGGCAGCCGTAAGGCATGAGCTGCGTTATGAGCTGCACCGTGGAGGTGAGGCAGATGCCCAACAGACGACACACGTGGGGGTGCTCCACACTGGCCATCACATAAGCTTCCTGTAAGATGACATAAATGATTTACATGATTTACAATTCAAAATTATGTTTATTTCTCTTCTTTATGTATTAGCTGTTTATGCAGCCCCTGAGCTCGTGTCTGCTTAGTGCCCTCTTCCTTTTAATGGACTTCTGCGAGGAAACCCGGTGATGGAAGCCATTTAGGAAATCCATGCCATGCTAGCATCGGATTCATGTAAGATTATTAAAAGAAAAAAAATTAAAAAGAAAACACAAGGTAAACAAATAACCAAGTGTTTAGGACACATACTTTTATGTGTGTTTAATTTCATTTTTTGCAAACTTTGTCCACATTTTTTTAAGTAAGTAAAGGAAAGCACAGGTTCCCTTCAAGGTACAAAAGCAAAAAAAAATACATTTTTAATTATTCAAAGGTCCTGTGACTTATTGGCTGGTAGAGATATCCTTGTGAATGATAAACAAGACATTTTTTGAGATACCCGGTATCAGGCGATAAGTTTCTCAGGAGCAGTAATACAGAACGAACAGCTGTGTATTTTATTGCTCGACAGTGGAAATTATCAAAAGAGACAAAGTACTTTAAGAATTTAAAAAATGGGGATAAGGAAACCACTGCAAGCAGTAATTCAAACTGAACTTTATCTAGTTTCCTGTCATGAAAGCAGAAATGCATGCAAAATATTGTCTACACGCCTAATACGATATCAGTATTGCTCAATAAATTCTCGGCTTGGGGCTACGCAATTCAGACAGCCTGATGAAAACAAGGTTTCCAAACACGTTCTACCTTACAGTGAAAGACTGCCCTTAAGTTAAGAAGCTGAGAGGACATTTGTGTCCACCACAGCGAGTGGACGTGCAGTGACTGAGCAGCAGAACCACAAAATCCCAGAATCCAAGATGCACATTTGTCTGTGTGCATAATGCATTTAACACAGGCTGCAGCGCTGCATTCCTTTCCAGAACACCTCAGCCTTGGATTACACCAACGCCCACACGCTGCCTTCCCATGAATTAATCCCATTTCCAGCAGTCCCATAAGATGAATGCCATGTAAACAGACACGTTCTCCATTACAAGGAAAAGTGGCCATTAGCTAGATTATAGGACACATTAGTGGAAATTTGACAACCAGCAGCCAACAACTGTCGCTCCTTAAGGCCGATGTAGTTTTGAGTCAAAATATTGTGATAATTCCTTAAAAAATATGCGTAACATTTATAACTTTTAAAATGTATACTTTCATTTCCAGCCCTTAACAGAAGGAGGCAGGGAGGGAGTATTTCAAATGAGCTGTTGTGTTCAGCTCCAATTTAGTATTACAGTAAGCACAGAGGCCAAAAATTACCACATAAAATGAGTGAACCTACATCCAAGATCTCCTTGTTTGCTTTAGGGGACGTGGCCTCTCTCAAAACCTTGATGGCGACTGGGATTTTCACGTCCTCTCCCTCCGGGACCCACAGACCCTGCATGGACACAAGCATTTTATTTTATGTGCTGCAATTAGACCTGAATCATCAAGTGAGCGCACAAGCATATGTGTAAATGTTAGCATACACTGTGCAGTACAAGTACAAATATTGACATGCATGTGCAAGCCAAAGCTACACCTGCTCTCAAACATACAGTAAACAGTGCGTTTGTATTCTGCTTGCAGTCCATTCTTTGCAAAACTGTCCACACTACGAAGGTCAAAAAGCGTAAAACAGGCAGAAATACAAAGAAGAACATCGAGCTGACCTACAGTCTCGCCCTCTCTCTCTGGAGAGTTACGCTAACCTAAAACCGAACCCTAAAATAAATGGTTAACCTTGAGGAGACCAGTGTTTTGTCCCCACAGGGAAGGAGAGTTTCCAGAATGTCACTGCCTAAACGCATAAACCCAAATTAACACACGAGCACCGAAAGTGAGAGTGAAGTCACCCGTGCATGATCTGGCTTGTTAAAAATGTGGTTTTATAACAGAAAAATTGACAACAGATGTAGCAGATGAGTGAAAACGCTGACGGTGTGTTGGTTCTGGCTGTGAGAGAGACCCAGATTCAGTAAAGCTCAGCACTGGGGTTCAATTATAAGAAAAAAGAAACAACTCCAGGGTGCCGCTTTTTTTTTTACCTTGTAAACAGTACCAAAAGCTCCTGATCCCAGCACCTTGATTTTCTTAAACTCGGGTTCCTTCAGGATCCGCAGCAGAGCCTGGTTCGGTGCCTCTCCACTTGGAGTGAGGGGTTCGACCAACTAGAGAGAAGAAATCACAGTCTTGCATATTGTCTCAGCTGTAAATGAATGCTGACATTTCCTTCATCATCTTAATGTACTCCTCCAAGCGCGGTGACTCAGCTTACCTCTCTCTCTTGGAGCAGTCTACGCATGGTCCTCTTCCTCTTGATGTGGCGTCGGCGGAGCAACACAAAAACAGACAGGCCTGCGATGAGAGCGGCCAGCAGCCCACCAACAACACCAGCCGCGACCATGGAAAGACCAGGGGGGCTGAAAAACAGGAAGGGGGGGAGGTTGTCAAACAGAGTGCGTTTGTGAGTTTCAGCAGAAAGCAGAAATGTGATTAACACATCTACCTCAGGCAAAGTTAACTTATCCCTAAGAAGTGGTGATCTGTGTTGCTGTGTTTACTCACCCTTTACTGTGGCAGCCTTCAAGACCGGGTCCAATGCACCTGTAAACAAATGAGTGCGAAGAGTCTAATGCAACTGACAAAATCAGCACAGAGGCATTGTTTTCCTATGAAAAACCCTTTGCAACCAATCAGAAACCAATACTGTTGCCACGCTTATGTTTCCCAGCGTCTTTGATTTCATTTCTGCCACATAAAGCACCGAAATCGTCTGTAAAATGCCTACAAGACTAAATACTGTCAATCAATGCATCAGTCACTGGGGTCAACCGGGGACTGTTTATTTCCACGCAGTCCAGTGGTTTATTTATGAAACTACTAAACCCAGTTGTGGAAACACATATCCTATTCTTCTTCGTAACCGTCACTGAGGCTCATTTACACAGCAGCTTTCGGTGGTTTAAAGGTATTTCAGACGACTTCCCAAGTTACTCATTGGGCTTAACACTGATCCTCTATCATTGTGAAAACTGTGTCTGCTTTTAGTTCTGCTGTTGCTATTATTTCTTTGTTCTCAAAAGTACTACAGACTTGCAAAAACAACGTACAGTCTGAAAAGGAAAGTTTTTCACAGGAATCTAATCCAGTCCTCTCAAGGAATTCAGCTAATCAAAAGCACTTTAACTGATCACCACTAAGCGTGAGAATCTCTGGAGCATTCAGGTGTCTGTTAACAAAATGCCACAAGCTTCCCAGGATTGTACACCAGCAAACTCACCCCAAGGTCAGAGAAACTGGAAAAAAATCCACGAGCTACATCTCAGACTCTACAGGCCTCAGTTAGCATGTTAAATGAAAGTGAAGTTCATGATAGTACAATCAGAAAAAGACTAAGTATGGGTTGTTTGGAAAATACCTCTTCCTCTAAAAAACCCTCCAAAAAACATACTTGAACACAATCAAAGGTAGATCTGCTGCGGGGCTCTCGAGGGGAGTCGACCTAGCTCACCCAATCAGTGAATTCTCCTTCTTGGTCTATTCTGGCAGGTATTCAGAAAATCTGGTACCGTATGTTTCAGTTTTCTCCATGTTTACCTTCTCATACTGTCTCTGATGGGTCTCCAAGGAGGTCCAGAGGACTTGTGTACCTCACTCCCTGTCAATTAGCCCATCTCTTTGCCATGAGGGCTCTGAAGCGATCAGGTGGTCTTTGTCTTCCACCAGAATACGCTCAAAGACAGAAAAACCTTTATATAAAAAACTCATATGAGGCCCCTATTCTTGTGTTTAATAAGATTTACTATAAGACAGGAGATAATTTTCCTTTGGTATAGCTGAGTGTCACGGTCTGCGAGGGCAGGGTGTTTGGAGGACCCAGGTGCGGACACAGACGAAGGAGGCAAAAATGTTTACTGAACTTAAAGTGAGCCTTTATTAGGGCCAGTAAACAGTAAAGCAAAAAGAACCAAACATAAACTATGGCAATGACCTAAACAAAGGGCCTAAACTGGGAAACAACTAAAGACTAAGAAAAACTAAGACTCTGATTTGGACTGTAACTAAGAGCTATGCATACGACAAGAAAAAGCAAAGGACAGTCTTCTGGACTGGTACATGAAAGGCTATGAGAACAAGACCAGAACAGAGACTGAAAAACTATGCCGTGTAGCTAGAATGACGGGAATGTTAACAGACGACGCAACACCGACACAAAGACACACTGGGCTTAAATACGCTGAGGAAGTCATCAAGGAATTAGAGACAGAAGGGGAACACAGCTGCGAGGAATAAGACCTAATGAGACAGGGGGAACAAAGCTAGAAACACTGACATAAGACAGGAACATGGACCTTCAGAGTAAAACAGGAAACAAGACACCACTAAACAAAGACGCAGACACGACACTGAGAGACAGACTAGACACTGAACTAAACCTGCAATAAACATGAGAACAAAACCTACGAACTAATCCCTAAACAAGAATAACTGAAACATAGAGTCATAATCATCATTATCATCATAATAAGAAAAGAATCCAAAATGCAAAAACACACCAAAACATAACTCAAAATACTGGGTCAAACTGACCCAGAACCGTGACAGCTGAGGTGTTATATATACTTTTGCTATTGCTGCTGAAGGTGCCTATACAAGCCACAGCATCACAAGGTGTTCTTAGTTCTTCACAGAGAGCCTCCTCACATGACTGTAAACCTTCTAGGTCCAAAAAGCATTTAAAAGAAGAAATTAAGTCAGACATAATCGGTTTGTTTTAAATGGAAAAACACGCAAAACCACACAAAAATCCTGCAGTCTAGAACAACAACACGTCTCTTGGGGTGTCTGATTTTAATCAGAAGTCCAAGAACCGCCTCAGCAGATGCTTCAAGCTCGGGGCACATTTCTGCATCAGTGTTACAACAGACAAATGTTTCCAAAACAGAGAAAATTCCTGTGCCTGTTCTCAGGTCAGCTGAGCAGTGCTTTTTACCCCTGAGTGCAGTTTTTGTGGCATAGCTGGCACACTTTCTGTTCATCTGCGTATTTCCACACTAGTGCGTCGTCCTCCCCCAGCACGCCTTGCGGACAGCGGGACACGCAGAACAGTCCATCTTTGAAGTTAGCACATTTAGTGCAGTTAGCAGACTCCTGAAAGTGGAAAAAAAAGAAAAAGATTCATTATGTTTACGACTCTATTGAGAGCAGTTATAAATATTTGGTAAACTACACTGTCTCATAGTAATAATTTCTCAAAGCAAATGTTTGGCAAATACGACCCGTGCAGTCAAGTTAGATCTTTCTTTTCTTTTCTTCTTCTTTTTGTTTTTTTAGTTCAGGCTAGTGAAAAGACGATTCAATGCACTGATCACGCCTGAATAAATTAGCGGTAATTTAATACATTTCCCAGATCTGCCTCCCACTCTCTCTTTGTCAGGTTGTGTTTCTGTTTTTGATAATTGGAGGGTTTATTTCCCAGTTATCAAAGTAAAAGCAAAAGAAAACAACCAGATTGCACATTTTGTGGCTGCGCTGCACTACAGCCGATCAAAGCTGCTGCTGACTGACAAATCCGCAGAACTAACGTGTCTGGATTGGATTTCACGCTGTGCAAATGTTAATCTCTTCTAAGCAACGCTCACAGAACTGTTTAACACAACTGCAAAGTGTTTTGTTTTGTAATATTAGTTTAGCTGCTGATGGCAAACATACAGGCGCGCTGCAGGTTGCGGTCCCGTTCATGGGCTGACACTCGGGGTGGCACTTGATGCAGATTTTATTCACAGCTGTCTCGCGTGGCTCTCTGCAAAAACAAGAAAGAAAAAAAAAAACAATAACAAAGCATGACATGCCTAGTTTGAAACTATTATATGTGTTTTATTTTTAATTTTTTTTTGAGGACAGGAGTTAAACTGTAAGCACGTCAAGATTCTTTGTTGGACAGAGCTCTCCGAAGATAAACAGATGTGAGCGACTGTGTCGTTTCGCCTCCAGTGTTTGTCTTAAATCCACTGGAGACTGAATTTCAAAATGCTTCGGATCATATCTGCTTTTCTTTTTCTGTCAATTAATCCTCAGGCTTGGAAATACAAAAATAGACTCTGAAGGAGTGAACTGTACAGCATGGAGACCTGTTGTGTTTTTAGCTTGTTTGTTTTTCAAAGCTTATTAAAGACAGTCAGAGAGATGCCTCCCTCACCCCTCCAGGATGTTGCAGGAGTCGACGCAGCTCCCGTCGCGCTTGTAGTCGCGGCACGAAATGCACATACTGGGGCCCGGACCCCAGCAGCCGTCCGCCGTGCACTTCTTGTCGCAAGTGTCGTTTCTCAGAGCTGAAACCCAAACACACAATCTCAGCGAGAGCTCTTTCCTGCATAATTATCCAATTTTGAAATTAAGATCCTGTAATTAAATCTTGCTCGTGCAGCGCATAATCAAAAGTAACAACAACAGCAAAGATGCGACTGAAGCCGGTGTGAGACAAACAGAATTTACCGCAGGCGGCAGCGTTGGCATTGCCCTCTATATTAACAGTTTGGTGTGGTGATTTGAAAAGCTTCTCCCAGTGCTTTGCATCGGTGTAACAGAGTTCAGAGTTCTTAGAGACAAACACATCTCCATCACTGATTTCTCTGAGGGACCTCAGGCCCAGGTGGGTGATATGTAGCCCAGCCACAACCAAACTGCGGCTTCCGCTACCAAATGGGAAACGAGAACAAAATGAGAAGAAGAAAAAAGAAAACATTTTGTGACGGGTTGAATAACACTGCGGTTTGAATCAACAGGGGGTCTTTACAAGGAACATACCGTTTAGTTCTCCCCCGAACGACCTCCAGATTCTCAAAAGGACTCAGTGAGCTCATGGTATTTGGCCACGTTTGAATCCACAGGTACCCTGAAGCAACAAGGTTTGTTAACCATAAAACTGTTTAGATGCACGCATTTAGATGCATGACTCAGCCCTTACGCAGTCTTACCAGTAATTTCTTTAACTGTCTTAAACACATTAAGCTGGGCAGGATCCATCTTTGGTGTTTTGGTGAATTGATCCCTGAAAATGAGAAAATACACCGTACTGACTGCTGGTAAAGGTGATCGAGCACAAAGGCAGCAATGCTAGTCATAGCCCAGACTTACCCATAAATTGATGTGTGGATGATGTCGATGTTTCCATTGATTTTGGTGCAGTTTTCAAAGGAGCCGATGTTTGTGGCATTGATAGACAGAGTGTGAACCAAGTCTCCTGTTCCAAGTCCATTACACACTAAAAAATATTAAAAAAAAATACTAGTTAATAATAATAAAAAATAATCATAATAATTTAATAATAGTTTCTCATAGATTTTGGTCCATATTAATGTGATAGCATCACACAGTTATTGCAGATTTGTCATTTCAGTACACCAAACTCAAAATGTTCAAGAATCCAGTTTCAGATGATTTGAGTTTTGTGACGTGAAATATTATCTCGCTAGAAGCAACTATCAGAAGATGGGAACACTGTGGTCATAAAAGGAAGACATGGTCAGCAGCAGCATTAATTGCCTAGAGATCTGCAGCTAACTGGGTATTTTCTCTGGAAATCCTGGAAAATGTCAGTGGATCAGCAGTTTGTGAAATACTCAGAGCAGCCCGTCTGGTGCAATCAAAGTCACTAAAATCTTGCCCATTCTGATGCTCACCTCAGCAGGTCATCTTGAACATTTTAATAAGCCACACCTAATGAAATGAGTCAGTGCATAAAATCTGGCCCATAAATTTTCACCAAATCAATAATATTTGCTTTTTTATTCATCTCAGTTGTTTAAAATTCCTCTGAATATACGTAGGATGCATGACATGTCTTTGAAATCGAAATCTTATGTGCATTTAGTGCATGTGTCTAATATGCATTCATTATAAAGATTCAGGAGTTACATACAGTTGGTGCATAAAATCTGGCCTATGAGTTTTCACCAAAACAATGCCATTTGCTTTAAAAAAAAAAAATCATCTCAGTTGTTTAAAATGCCTTAAAATGACTGAGTTTAATAAAAATGTTGTTCAGTTGTATTGTACTGCATCTGTGTTCCCCTGAATATAAAACCAAACAGAAATAGCTTAAGGATGAGTGACATGTCTTTGAAATTGAAATCTTATGTGCATTTAATGCATGTGTCTAATGTGCATTCATTATAAAGATTCAACTTGGCAGGAGTTATATACATTTCCATTAGAACTTACAGTGTGGTAAACATGCTGCCGTCCCAACTTTTTGAAGTCGTTTGCATCAAGTTAAAAACAATTAAACGTTTGTTTTCCTGCACTATTTTCAATTAAAAAGGGTTAAATTATTTACAAATTACTGCATTCTGTCGTATTTACATTTTACAGCTTAACCTCTGTGAAAACAACATAATAAGAAATTGTTCTTAGCGTAGCTACAAACAGTTTGTTTTTTGTACACGGTGAGAAATATTTGTCCAGATTGCACAGTAACAGCTTATCTTCCTACCTTTTGGACACAGCCCGTCACACTTGGCGCACTTCCTGATTCCTCCTACCTCCACCTCATATGTGTTATCGTTGCATGTCCGCACACATGCGCCGTAATCAGAAATAATATAATTACCTGGAAGAATATGCAAAATATAAGCTGCTGATGATGATAATCTCATATTCATGTGCACTAGATGGATCTTAAATCATCTTAAAATCATATTAAAATATCTGGGGAAAAAAACCTTTTTTGTAGCAAATAATCTTTTATTAGTTATACAGCAGTTTAACTAATGTTGCTGAACTGCAGAGCTCCTTCAGTGACAGACTGCTGCATCCTAGATGCATGAAGGAACGTTTCCGCCCTGCAGCTGTCAGATTGTACAATCAAAACCGCTCCCAACAAACATAGATGTTTACATTTGAATATGTTTGTTTACATACATATTTAATTTTAATACCTGTACAGTACTCTGCTTTTGGTAACTATTGTCCTTGATGTAAATATGTAAAAAAAAGGTGTATGTTTCTGTTCTGTTTCCTGTGTCCTGTTTGTTTGTATATATGCGTTTTTCTTGCTGCTGTTACAACCAAATTTCCCCTTGTGGGACAATAAAAGGATTATTCTATTTTATTCTCTATTCTAATGCATAATGATGACAGAATGTAAACACAGAAATACAGGGACAGACCTGTGCAAGTTAAAATGATAAAAAGCAGTTGTTGCATTAACACACTCTCAATCATTTGCTTTTCTTGTTTATACAGTTTAACATTAAACTTGGACAAACTGTCACGACTGAATGTCTAACCACCCTGAAGGACAACCTGGGCAACTGTTCAGCAAGTCAGCATGCCGCAATATGGAACAAAAGTGTAATCATGCATGATGAGCTTCATACTGCCGATTGGGACCCATTATTTTACTTTTATTTATCTTGACTGTCGAGACATAGCTACAATGCACGCATCAATGTTGGCTAATGTAATATATCTGTCTAGCAGGATTAAAAGTTTAACAGAAATAGGTGAAAAAAACTAAAATTAAACAAAAAAATGATCTGGTTAAAGCCGGCCTTACGTGGGCAGCTTTTGACACAGGTGGCCCCGAAGCTGTACTTTCCATGCGGATTAGGAACCAGCTGGTGCAGGTTGGGGTCATAACGATGAAGGCCTGGGCAGGAGTCCTTACACACTCCATTATCCTGGAAGTCCCGACAGGCCTGCAGCACAAACACGCGTCATCTAGCACACTGGGACCAAAACAGAGCCCCGCACTAATGATAACACTGCATTCCTTTATCACAGCCATGGCTTAATACTCATAGCTGCACAGAGAGGCAGAACAGACGCTGTTATTCAAGGCACTGCCAAGTGCAAGATCTAATCAAACGCTCCACATCTCATCTCTACTGAAACCAATAACAAACTTCGGATGATAAAAACAGATGTCTGAGAGTGAGAGCTTTATTCTGTTGGAAGGTCTTCTTCAGGAACCTACAGAGTAGCAGAATTACGTAGTGTAGTGTTGCACTTAGGAACAGTTTTTTATTAGTTTTGGTGACTTTGCGTTGGTTTCTGTTTGACTGGGAGTCTTACACTCACCAGGTACACCTGTTCCATTGTTTGTTAATGCAAATATCTAATCAACCAATCACGTGGCACTAATGGCTGCTCCTATTAGCTAAAAACAGGAAAATTAGGGTACAATTCAAACAGGTTCACCAAAATTGGACAAAAGAAGATTTTGTGTCGCAAAATGTGTGTGATGCTATCATGTCAGCATAAACCAAAATCTCTGAAGAAAGTTTCTAGTACCTTGTAAAATCAATGGCATGAATAATTAAGGTCATTTAAGGCAAAAGGGGATCCGATCTATATTAGCAAGGCATAACTAAAACATTGGCTGGTGAACACAGGCCTTGGTCACATGTTTATACGATATCACACAGTAACATTAAAAGTGTCTTTGTCTCACCAGGCAGTCTTCAGCTCTGGGTCCCGTGCACCCCGCGGCACAATGCTCATTGCAACAGTCACTCGGTGAAGGTCCTTTGCATCTCTTAGAGCACTGCTGGGCACAGTTCAGCTTTGTCACTGGAGATGAGAGCAGCAGAAGTTGAGTGGAGTGTCCAAGCCCAGGAATGAATTTGTTCTGCTTTTGATTCTGATGCCCTATCATCACCGTGCATTACAGTACTTTAAACATGTTCAAATTGTGAAAAATTGGAGGATTGTGTGCACAAATTTGTTTCACCTTACTCTTGTTTGCAGTAAATAAGCTAACAATTAATAAAACAGTGCTTACAAGTCTGACAGTTTTCAGGACCAGGTGCCCAACATGAGCCATTGAAACAGCCTGAGTCACATTTTCCACCTGTTGAAAAAGAAACGTTGCAAAGTACCAAATTAAAAACCTTTTAACTCGCAACAAATTATCTCTTTGTCTTCTGGTGTAAAGTAATACTTACAATTTTTGTTTTTGCTAGGAGTTGGATCAATGCTGATGTTTCCAACATTAACAATATCGGACCACTGGATTGTTTCCACATTGCAAAGCTGGTTGGTCAAAATTTTTACTCCTCCTTTAAGAATTTCTGCAAAAAGAAAACTTGGATAGGAACTACTACGCAAACATGCACACGTTGGAATATTTACATAGTTTGTAATAATAATGGCTGAGTGTCATATAAAACATGATTATTTAGGGGTTAACCTACCTGTCAGGCTGGTCAGAAGAATCTGATCGGTGCCCTTATTTGTAGATTTGTTATAATTGGAAATCACAGAAAGAGCAAAACTTCCATCATAGAGAGAATGGCCTCGAATGATGCGCAGGTTCTCCAGAGGAATCCTGGATACTGTATTGAGGGCGATCAGGACGTAGCCACCAACTTCTTTGATTGACTGGAAGAAGGAAAAAAAGACAAACTTAATTTTTGAATTAAAAAAACAAAAACCTTTGTATTTTCTGAACGACCTGCATTTATATACATTTACATTAATGTTTTAAGAGAAAACTGTGAAACTGGTGGTCCATAACACTGGTAGACAAAGATTAATCCTATTTTTATTGTGCTAGAGTCACATTCAGTTTGACTGATAGAGGTGTGTAAATTAATGCTCAGAAGCACAGGGACACCTACACATATCACCTAAATGAGCTGCTTAGACATCGAAAAATACCATGAAGCTCCCAGCATACAGGTTTTGTGCTGATGTTAATACCAGAGGATGTTTAAAGCTCAGCAGCTTTACACCTCCTCTGGCAGAGTGTTGGTGACTTTTGCACACCGTGCTCCTCAGGTACTGGCGACCCCGGCCTCTAACTTGCCACTTTCAGGCTGAGTTTCACTTTCCAATAACAGCACATAGAGTTGATGGTGGAATAAATTTCACAAACTGACTTGATGCAATAGTGGGATCCTAAAATAGCACCAAAGTCAAATTCAATCTTTTCTTTCCCCATTCTTTCACAAATGTTTGTAAATGCAGACTGCATTGGTAGGCGTTCGATTTTACACGTCTGTTGCAATGGGACTGAAAACACTTGGGTTTGTTCATACAGTGTATGTGATGGATGCTAAAAATAAGAAAATATAAATAAAAGCTATGAGATGTATGGTTAACTCCACATTGTAAAATCTAAATCTTATAAATCAAATCGGGTTTTCTGTCTAACTAGAGTAAGACTCACGAGTTTGTGTACAAGTTTCAGTTTACATGTCATCCCTTTAATTCTATTCTATACTATTCTGGTGAAAAGCGGTCATCAATAGCATATGAATGCTTAAGTTATGGCAAAATAATGTGTTTCATGAAGTCAGGGTGACCTTTATTTTTGACATCTTTCTTGAGATATTTCATGTAAAGGATTTCTTCGATGCACTCTTCACATATCAAATACATAAGAAACAGACAGATGTGCTCACAAGCCAAAAACATGTCGATGGCACTGAATCATAAAACTTTTAGCCAGAATATATTGCCTCAGGTCTACCTCTAGGGCTACAGACAGCCCACCAGTACTACTAATAGAATGGTTAACACAGTATGTACAGTATGCTGCTCAAGAGGTGATACACAGAGCCACAATAACTTCTGGTGATCGTAATTAGCATACTGGGTCGGCTCAGAGATGGGCTTATCTGAACTGTGGACGCTGGGCAAGTCCAAAGTGATGAGAGAGAAAAGTAAGGATGAAAAAATAGGACTCTGAAAGTAACATCATTTAAGACACTTCCTCTTAATATCAGTGGAAACAAAGCCTTAAAACCTCTGAATAATATCTGCTGACTGTATGCTTTTCTGTCTTTGTGTGTGCAACTCTTCATGAGAGTGTGTGTGCCCAGGGTGCAAACCCCTATACAACCTTAAGCAAAGCTCCATCCACAGCATTATAAATACACCGAATCATCATACCTATTCACTCTCCACTGATTTTAATTATCTGAACTGAAGCGATGCAAGAGGCTACACACATCCAGTATAAGGGGCTTGGACAACTTTTACTCGCACTCTTTCTCTAATCTGCTATGTACATGCTTATCCTCAACTCCTAACAAAGTGCAGCTTTTACCCGGAGGAAGGACAGGTCACGGTGATCCTCCATGTATGTGATCTCCAGGTTCTCCAAGACTACAGTGCAGTTGCTGTAGGTCTTCACCATGTTCCTGTAGTGGTCCTCTTTAGTTCCCAAAAGGTTTAAACGATTGGTTACACCTTGGCACACTGCAGGAAAGGAGAATTCATCATTGTTTCATTTAAATGTTAAAAGATTCAGATTGTAAATCATGTGGAATTGCAGTGGAGAGTCACAAAAGTATTTAAACCAAGGCCCACAGTGCAATCAGTCAGAAACAGAAACATTCCCTGCTTACGCAACACGCTGGCTCTGTTTATGACTTTCTGTGTGTGTGTGTGTGTGTGTGTGTGTGTGTGTGTGTGTGTGTGTGTGTGTATCTCTGTTGGAGAATTTAGTCTGTGCGGTCATAACTTGGCACGCTTTCATGTGAAAATAACAGATCTGGGCTGCATCTGCAACAAAATCAAATCTCAGTGACGAGTTAAGTTCTGGCCTGCGAGTCAAAGTCAGCTGCGTGTTTTTATGCTGGCAAAGGTCTCAATCTTTCCACTTGTATGAAGGCTGGTTAAAACAATCCCTGTGACCGGTAAGTCCAACCCATTGTGGTGTCCTCCAGAAAAGTTCTGGTGTGTCACAAATTCCATGACAGTTGTAGGTTTTTGGTTTTTTTTGGAGAGGAGATTCACATGTCTACATCTCAAAATTAAAAGTCTAATTTCTAGTTTAACCATATTTGACTCAAGCGCAGGATTCATGACATGACAAAATGACAATTTAGTGCTTAAACAATGTTGATAAATGAATGCTCTCTGAGTTTTCAGCTCCCAGAGAACAACTATGGGTTGATAAATTCGCCTATTTAATGTTACGTAATACAATGCGTGAATAAGGAAGGTAGTGCAACAAACAGGGAGGCTCTTTTTTTGTTTTAATGAATAAATGGATTTTATTTAGAACAGCTCATCTTCTCTTATGCATGTTTAGGCCCCAAGCTGGTCAAACAGGTTCTGACTAGCAATGAAGAGAGAGCCAACAGAGTTAATCACTGCAACAGCTATTTAACACACACACACACACACACACACACACACACACACACACAGTGTATGCACGCATAATAAGCAAGTAATTGATTGAGATTTAAATTATGGGTTCACTTGAGCAATTAACTCTGAAAAACAAAATATTCCTCCTCGTGGTTATCAGAAATTGCGGTGCTGGCGTAATCCCTAAAGCACATTCCCAAACATGCCTGCTCTTGACAAAAGAAAGCCATACAACTTGGTCCGATTTCTCAGACACACCTCACAACACATAACAGCTCATGCAGTTGTGCTAACCAAGGCACATGTGATTCACATCACTGAGGGAAAAGAACAGGGTTTCTCAACTGGTATCAAAGGATAAAACTGCATTTTTCAATCGCACTGTGTGTTTTACTTATGATGTTGTGCTGGGTTCATACACACTAAGCGCAAAAGGAAGCTAATCAGTGAGAATTAGGCACAAACAGCTGTCAACCGCCCTCCCTCTTCTTCCTCCTCATTAGCTAGTCCCTGAGGGTTCTCCCTGACATGAACCCTGCAGTCCAGCAGCCCAACACCCGAGTAACAGAGGCAGATGAGCAAAAGCAAGCTGACAGTTTTAATTAGAAGAGCCACGTGAGTTGTAATTAGCCCTCTAATTATTACTCAGATCGCAAAAACCAAACTGTAACAAACAAAAGGTTGTCGGGTTTTTGCAGCTGTGAATATTAATAAACCTGATTTGAACATCGTGAACGCCATTTTGCAAACAGAGACAATCACTTAGTATATATAGTATGAGTATACTGAGTATATATACATGCATATCTCCCAGTTATATATAAGCAGTCTGCTCCCTTTTTGAGTTAGAATGAGCAGTGAAGGTGGAAAAAGACAGGTGAGGCTGATGGTTCAACAAATCTCCTCCAAGGGAAGATCAGACCTTGAGTGCCAAACAAGGAAGTAAAGCAAACAGCCAATTGGCCGAGCAAGCAGGCACACAGCCACAGTAAAAGTTCTCCTTGTCCACTTGGTGATTTCACAACTCTCTTGCAGGTGGTAAATGATCTGATATTCTATGACCATAAATGGACTTCCAGGAGCAACAAAAGAAAAAACAAATGAGGTCGGGCTGTGGGGACATAATTGTTAAAATCTGCTGTTAAAAAGATTGCTCTATAATTGTGCTGGGAATAATGTGTGTTAGACTTTAACCTGGGAACCTTCTCCAAGTGAAAATGACTCATGTTGAATCACATTTACAATAAAAGTTTGCAGACGTGGTAAGCTACCTTCGCTCTGAAAGAGACAAACTGTTGCTAGTGAGGAAATGAACACGCAGACTGGAAATGACAGGAACCTGTTTAGTTGCTTTTTTTGTCCATAAACCGTTGATTCTGAAATGTAACCTACTGTTTGCAGCCTGCTATGATGCAAGGTTAAAGGTGGGGTTTCTTATGATGTAACTGATACTGTGACAAAGACTAATTGCAGATTGCTTCACTCATTCCAGCTGTACTGTCGTCACAAAACGTCCAGGAGGTAGGTGCAGGGAGTGGTAGGACATGAGTGTGTGGGTGTGTGCACTAGCATATATGCAAGTGTGCAACACTCTAAGCGGCACAAGCTGGATTGAGCTCTGTTGATCAGCACCCAGTCAGAGAATGACAAAGGACCTGATAAACCCGATCACGAGTCATCTAAACTTGCAGAAACGTCCAGTCGCATGTTTTGATGTTTACTTGGGAACTAGTGCTGGAAGTCGAGGGTGTGCGGGCACATATCTGTTTCTGGAGGCTATGGCACCTGCACCACTACATAAAAAAGAAACCATTGTTTAGTATTTAAGATAATTATCTCATTATGTCTTTAATAAACATTTACAAAGAGAATACAGAATAGAATAGAATAACTTTATTATCCCGATCAATGGAAAATTGTCTTTTGTTCACCATTCATAAATACACACATACAAAACAACAATAAATAAACAGTACTGGTAATGACCAAAGTCCTTCTTCCCCCAAAGAAGGACTTTGGGGGGGTGTCTGTTTGTTCGCAGGTTAGCATCTATATTCTTTTAAGAGATGTTCAAATATCTTGTTCAAATTTATGTGTCTGTAGACACCAATAGCAGCGTGGGCTGATTTCATTTTGGTGAAAATTAGGTCAAGGTCACGCCAAATGTGAAAGACTTTCTATATCACACACTTTTTTATGTATTGGCTTCAAACTTCACAACGATGCTAGGTCTTTTGATTCACAACAATCACACACAACATGAATATATCTTAAAATCTCTCATTTTTCAGCTTCTGGAAGCCAAAAAAATTCTGCCAACCCTGCTTCAATCATATGGATAGAGATAATAAAATACTCCATTTTAATATGTAATACTTCAACGTCATGGTCAAAGCTCAGTCATCAGCGTGTTGTATACAAAAGGCTGATGTCAGCATGTTGTAATAAAAACATCATAAAACACCAGAATTTTAGTAGACTATGGCCCTTGCCCTTCGGGGGAAGTTGCGCTCTCTGGTTGCTCTTGTTTGCTGTGTGCAAGCCGTCTTTAATCAAAATGAAGTCAAGTCAAAAGCGCCAAAAACTGCAATTCCTCCCTCGGCCTCTTGAGGCTGGCTTCAGAAATGAGTCCATTTCACAGGCCCAAGCATTAAAATGCCCACCTTTAAAGCACAAATAAACATGTTTTCTAAACATGTTGCATTCAATCTCATAGCGTGGTGACAAAACTGTGAAAATCATGAACACCGTTTCCCTTGCACCTTTTGAAATGGGTTAGCTGTAGCGGTAAAATGTGTAAGTTTTACTGTGAAGGCAAGCGTCTCAGGTTTTGGATTGTGTCATACTTTTTCAAGTTCCACTAAGGCTCAATCACTAGTTCGCATGAGCAGATTCCTTGAAAACTACAGGCAACCTGCTAACAACCAAAGCAATCACAAGGAGGCTTTTCCTGCAACACCATCAACCTCCAGCTACCATTAGCCAACCATTCGGGGAATACACATTTTTCATTAGCAGCCGGTGGTTGCTGATCGGTTTCTAGGCCTGTATGACTGAGGAGTCAAAGGATTGGGTCCAAGGAATGGGTCAACGTTTTGGCGAATGCACATTTGTTTTCTGATGTAGGGGTTACATTAGAACGTCAACACTCTCTATCCTGGTAAATCAGCATAAATCACAAAAAATTTTATATTTTCTGTAAATTCTGTGAATCTCGGGTAGGTGAAGTGTTTCCAGCTGGGCGTCGTGTACCTGGAGTCGAGTGTTTTAACCGATGCATGAAACTACACATTTTTAGACATAGGTTGTAACGGCTGCCGTTTTCTTTGTG